CCAGATATGTGCGTCGTGCTCCACGCCGCTAGCCCCTGCACTCCAGCTGACCAGCAGCGCTAGGCGCCCCTGTGATCGGGCACGGCGTGCCCGCGGGGGAACCCCTCCGCCGGCGTCACCCGGTCGCCTGAGGCACCGCGCTGGCGAGGCAGCGCCCTGCGCGCAGTAGAGGTCGTCGATCCGGCGCCGGGAGCAGCAGCAGGTGAACCCGGCGGCTGTCCAGAGTTCGGAAAAGCGCGATGCGGCCTCAAGAGCATTGTCCATCCAGATCTGCGCGTCGGCTCCGTACCATTAGCCCCCACAACCAAGAAGACCAGCGGCGCTCGCGGCGTCGCATGTTGGCGCCCCTGTGACTGGGCACAACGGGCCTGCTGGGGAACCCCGCCACCGGGTCGTCGTGAGCACCGCGCCTATGAGGCAGCGCAATATGGTAATGACCGCCCTCTTCAATGTCTTCTGTGGTCACCACATGCTGTTGTCTGGGCGGTCGGCGTGTTGTTTGTCGTCGGCCACCCTGTCTGCCCGTCGGTCTCCACATACAATTACTCTGCGCTTCGCGCATCCCTACCAGCCCATCCAGAAACATCGCCAAGGGAGTTGCCCTAATGAGAGAATTGTGGAAACAGACATTGAAACAGCTGCTGAGGAAGTGTGTCGGGGACGCAGAAAACTGCGGGAGCTTATGTTGAATGATTTACCGTTCCCATGCCACAGCGGCTTTCTTGAGGTCTTCTGGGGGCCCTCTTGGAGTTATTTTAAGACCCTCTCGGGGCTGGGTGATCGCGATCTTTGACCAAAGGAGGAGGACGGAACAAGAGCAAACGGGAGGAGGAGGAGGAGAAGAAAGGGAGAGGGAAGGGGGGAGGAATGGAGGGAGGGAAGGACGTGGAGGATGATGAGGAGGAGGAGGAGGAAGGATTCAAAAGGATGATGTTGCTGCTGCTGATGCTGCTGATGATGATTATGAAGATGTTGTTGTTGTTGTTGATGGTGATGGTGATGATGATGCTGATGATGATGATTATGATGATGTGGTTGCTGATGACGCTGCTGATGATACTGAGGACGATAATGGTGATGACGATCACGACGATGACGATGACAATGACGATGATGATGATGATGATGATGATGATGATGATGATGTTGATGATGATGAGGATGATTGTGGTAATAATGATGCTGCTGATGATGTTGATGATGATAATGATGATTCTGCTGATGATCATGATGATGATGACGGTGATGATGATGCAGCTGACGACGACGACGACCGCGACGACGATTATGGATAATGATGTCGATGATAAATCTGATCATGCTGATGACGACGGTGATGATGATGATGCTGATGATGATAGTTATGGTCATGGTAATATTGGTTGTGTCGGTGGCCATGGTGATGATAAGAGTGATGCTGCCGCTGATGTTGATCATGCTGATGATGATGACGATGAGGATGCGGGCTAGGGTGAGGATAATGATGATGATGATGACCATGATGACGATGCTGGTGATGCTGATGCTGATGCTGCTGCTGACGAAGCTGATGATGACGATGATGCTGATGTTGTTGTTGCTGATGATGGTGAGGATTGGGATGCTGCCGACTATGATGATGACGGTGGTGCTTATGATGATGCTGCTGATGATATTGATGATGCTGATGTTGATGATAATTCGGATGATGATGCAGCTGATGCTGATGAGGCTGATGATGAAGAACAACAAGCTGATGATGGTGATCATGATGACGGCGATACTAATGCTGATGATGATGCTGATGCTGCTGCCGCTGATGATGATGCTGCTAATGATGACGATGCTGCAGATGATGCTGCTGATTATGATGCTCATGCTGATGTTGCTAATGAGGATTATTATGATGCTGGTGATGGTGATGATGATGATACTGATGATGACTAGGATATGATGATGCTGCTGCTGATGGCCGTGATGATGATGGTGATGATGATTCTGATGCTGATGCTGATGCGGCTGATGATGATGATGATGATGCTGATGATGATGATGATGATGCTGATACTGATGATGATGATGATGATGATGCTGATGATGATGATGATGATGATGATCATGATGATGATGGCGACGATCATGGTGAGGATGATGCTGCTGCTGCTGATGCCCATGATGATGCTGATGATGCTGATGTTGGTGCTGATTATGATGCTGATGCTGCTGATGATGCTGATGCTGATGATGTTGATGATGCTGATGGTACTGCTGCTGCTGCTGATGATGATGTTGATGATGACGATGATGATAATGATGCTGATCATACTGATGACGGTACGGATTATGATGATCACGATGCTGATGAGGATGAAGAATATGAGGAGGAGGAGGAGGTGGAGGAGGAGGAGGCGGAGGAGGAGGAGGCGGAGGAGAAGGTGGAGGAAAGGGAGGAGGAGAAGGAGGAGGAGGAGGAGGAGCAGGATGAGGGAGGAGGCAGAACGGAAGGAAGGAAGGAGCTGACGAGGACAAGGGTGACGACGAGCCGGCCTTTGCGGATAACTTGTCATGAGAGGATTTTGGACGACTCTTCGAGTCATCTTGGGGCCCTCTTGGGGTCCCCGTGGGGCGTCCTAGGGCACTCTTGGGGTCCTCTGGGGGGGCTTTTAGGGAATCCTGGGGCCCTCTTGGAGCTCTTTGGGGAGGTCTGGGAGGCCTCTTGGGGCCGTCTTGGAAGCCACGGCTCAAAAACGTGGGCGGCTGAAAATCAGCTCCCCCCCACTCCCTCGAAGGCCGAACTGGTGCCCCTTGGAGCCATCTTGGGGTGCTCTTGGGCGATCTTGGTGCCGTCTTGGGGCCATCTTGGGGCTCTCTTGGGCCATCTCGGGGCCATCGTGAGGCTGCAAAAGCCAGTCGGAAGACAGCAGGCCGAAAAGGCAATACACAGTAATGCTCCGTAGGTTTTTGGGGGATGTCGGCCTCTTGCGGGGTGCCTTCGAATGCTCGAAGGGCCCTTGGCCCATCTTGGGGCTACCTTGGAGCCTCTTGTAGGCATGTCGGAGGCTATCTTGAGCCATCTTGAAGTATGTAGGGCAATATTAGAGGCCATCTTGCGCTCACTGAGGCCCTCTTGGAGCAATCTTGGACCAACAAGGCCCCCCCGCTTAGACCCAGGGGAGAGAGATGTTTAGGGGGAGGGGTCACGACGCCCATCCGCCACACAACCAGACGCGAACTTTTTGGGTCACTCCCACCCGCTCTCCCAACACATGAATAGCACCTGCGTCTCAGTATTTCGCCTCGGAGCGCCACGCATTATCATGTGCGCCACGGGTTCCAGGTGCACCAGGCACCCTGGGGGCCCAAGCGTGCCAGGCGCGCCAGGCGCGCGACGTACTCCAAGTGCGCCAAGCGTGCCACGTGCTCCAGCCGCGCCAGGTGCGCCACGTGCGCGGCGCGTGCAGAGTGTGCCAGGTGCGCCGTTGAACTGCGGCAGCAAGTAATATGCCAGCATCCCTGCCGTCCTTGTCAAACACCAATGCGGGGTGGTCGTGGGGCACCCGCGAATGCTACATATTAAGAGGCAACGTGTATTTTTGTATTTTTAAGAGGGATAGTCGGCCTGCGCGACGCAAGCGATGCCCACACCCCTGCCGTCCCTGTCAGCAACCAATGCAGCGTGGTCGCGGGGTGCCCGCGCATGCTCCAGATTTGGAGGCAAATGGTATTTTGTATTGATTTTGACAGGGATGGTGGTGGTGGGGGGCTCAGGAGTCCAGGTTGGTTGCTTGTCGGGTAGGGGGGATGCGTGTATTCATAGAGAACAATGATAACCCCCTCCCCCGAGCAGGGTAGGGAGGGGTTTCGGAATAGGGCAGAAAAGAACTCATTATTCCACCTTCGTCGAGAGGGCTGGTGAGATTTGTACTCGAGTTCGCTCTTCGCGAGTCTTCGAGTTTGGGCCCTTTCCACCCACAGCGGACGTGAACATCACGGGCCCCTGAAAGGATCAAGGCTTGCCGAGTTGGCGAAGTCACACAGCCGCGTGATGGTGAAGCTGTGCCGACCTCTGTGTTGCACGTGTGAGCAGGAGGGTCCGGTGTGCCGGCCGCCAGCTGAAGCGCCTCCTCTTCTTCCTCGTCATCCTTCCTTCTCCTCCCCCCTCTCCTTCCTTTTTTCCTTCGACGTATCATCGACGGCCATGGGCTAGTCCCGTAGCGGAAGTCCCGCTTTCCGTCCCCTCGTCCTTGCCATTCTTTCTGTTCCTCCTCCGCCTCCCCATCCTCCGCCGCCGCCTCGTCCGATACCCACTCCAACTCGTCGTCCTCCCCCCCCCTCCCTTTGACTCCTCCTCTCCTCCAAATCGATCCTCCCCTCCCCCCTCCCCCCCTCCACATCCTCGTCTCCCTCCCCATCCTCGTCCCCTCACCCTTTCTCCCCTCCTCATCAACGTTTCGGGGCCGAGCACGCGTATCCGGTCACGGGCATGGGCCGCCATACCCGTCTGGGGTTCTCGTGGGCCGTCCGCAGTTCAATGAGCGCTCGGGCCGCTTGCCCGAGGCAGAATCGCGGCCGGGCTCTCCGTCTCCTCCTCGTCTTTTTTGTCCTTCTCTTTCTCAGTCTACTTCAGCTGGATCGACAGGGACAGTTGGAGGAGGCGTAGGGAGGGTCGGTATGATACGGGCGTCGGCGATGGCTCCATCCCGTCTTCCTCCCCCCTCCCTCTCCCTCCTCCTCCTCCTCCTTCTCCTCTCCTCCTCCTCCTTCCCCTCCTCCCTCCTCCTCCCCCTCCTCCTCCTCCTCCTCCTCCTCCTCCTCCTCCTCCTCCTCCTCCCCCTCCTCCTCCCCCTCCTCTTCCTCCTCCTCCTCCTCCTCCTCCTCCTCCTCCTCCTCCTCCGCGCCCGTCATCTCACCCAGTTCGGCAGAGGGCCCGAGTGGGCTGCTCATTCTGGTCCACCTCCCCTGCACATCCCTCGCCCCTCCTGCCGCCACCCGCGCGGCTCCTCGCGCTCGCCGCCCGGCAGGGCAAGAGACGCTACGACAAGAAGCAGGCCGGCTCGCGACTGGGCTGCGCGCGTCGGCTCTCGTGTTGCGCCTCCTCTCGGGCCAGCCACCGGTTCTCTCGCCAGTCGGAGGACGCGTAATGGGGGGCGATGGGTGGGGGTGGCAGCGAGGGCTGCAGAAACTTGCCTTTTGGGGGCCCCTAAAGGGTCTCTCTAAGGCCCAAAAGGGGGGGCCCTAAGGGGCCCCCAAGGGGCACCTGTCTTTCCCGCCCATTTATCGCCCCCCAGTATGATTCGCGCCCAATCCAAGGTATCTCCGCTGCCCACCGTCGCTGAAGTACCGAGCTTAAGATACGATCACAGTCATTTGCTGGCATCCTTGCAAGGCGGGCGACCCCTGATATTCAACGGGGGAGCCCATCGACCACAGCGACCGCCAGAGGAGGGAGCAGGAGCCGGAGGAGGTGGACGAAGACGAAGAACGGATGACAAGGAGGCTGTGATGAGGAAAGCTGAGGAGGAATACCATGATTACCAGGACGAGCCGGACTGTGACAGCGACGATCATTATGATGATGTTGATGGTGCTGATGCTGATGCTGCTGATGAGGATGTTGATGAGGAGGAGGATGATGAGGAAGAGGATTGATATTAGTATGCTAATGCTGATGAGGATGATGGTGATGATGATGAAGAATATGATAATGAGGATGATGCTGATGCTGATGTGGATGATGATGATGATGATGATGATGATGATGATGATGATGATGATGATGATGATGATGGTGGTGATGGTGATGGTGGTGATGGTGATGGTGATGGTGATGATGATGATGATGATGATGATGATGATGATGATGCTGATGATGATGATGATGATGGGGATGGCGACGACGATGATGATGATGCTGCTGATGATATGGTGATGATGCTGATGCCGACGACGTCGACGATGGTGGTGAAAGTGCTGAGGCTGATGATGCTGATGAGGATGAGGATGAGGGGATTATGACTAGGATGTGGATGATGCTGCTGCTGATGCTGATGATGCTGATGACGACGACGACCACGACGATGATGGATGATGATGACGATAATGATTATGCTGCTGATGATGATGACGATACTGATGATAGTGTGTGATGATGATGATGCTGCTGCTGATGATGATGATGATGATGATGATGATCATCATCATGGCGACGACGAGGGCATCGACGACGACGACGGCAAGGGGTTTCTGATTACGATGATGAAGGCGCTGCTGCTGATGATGAAAGTGGTGTTGGTAGTGACGAGTATGCTGATGATTCTGATGATGATGATGCTGATGATGAGGATGGTGATTCTGATTATGATGATGACGCTGATGCTGCGGATGCTGCAGATGAGGATGATGATGATGATGATGCTGACGATGATGCTGATGATGATGATGCTGATGATGGTGGTGAGTGTGGTGATGATGATGATGCTGACGATGGTAATGATGATGAGGACGATGCTGCTGCTGCTGATGATGATCATGATGCCGATGGTGGTGGCGTCGATGCTGCTGAGGATGACGATGATGATGATGACCATGATGCGTATTATGATGCGAATAACAATGACGACGACAACGACGACGACGACGACGACTACGACGATGATGGTTATGGTGATGCTGGTGGCGATGGTGATGGTGCTTGTTATGGTGATGGTGATGGTATTGGTGATGGCTATGGTGGGTGTGCTGGTATTGATGATGCTGATGATGATGCTGATGATGTTGATGCTGACGATGATCAGGCTGCTGAGGAGGATGAGGATCTTGATTAGGCTTTCGATGGCGCTGATTCTGATGACCGATTCCGTTGTTGATGTTGTTCATGTTCATGTTTCGGATCGTGATTGTGATGATATTGCTGATGGTGTTGATGATGATAGTGATGATGATGATGATGATGATGATGATGATGCTGATGATTATAATGATGATGACAATGTCAATGATGATGATAATGTTATGCTGATGGTGTTGTTGATGTTCTGATGATGACGATGATGATGATGATGCTAATGATGATGATGATGATGATGATGATGATGATGATGATGATGATGATGATGCGGCTGCTTCTGCTGCTGCTGCTGCTGATGATGATGATGGTGGTGATGATGATGATGATGATGATGATGATGATGATGATGATGATGATGATGATGATGATGATGCAGATGTCGAGGCGGAGGAGGAGGAGGAGGAGGAGGTGGAGGAGGTGGTGGTGGTGGTGGTTGTGGAGTAGTAGAAGGGGGATGGCGATGGGACAGGTGGAGAGAGGAAGTAGGAGGAACGCTTAGAGGGAATGTATGTATTCGTTGTTGATGGAGACGATGGCTTACGCAAGTGTGTACGCAAAGGCAGAAGTTGCACTCCTCCGGCAAGGCTCACTCGCCGTCGTTAAAAATGTCGTTACACTCAGGGACTTTGGGAGCCGCTTGTGGCCGCGCCTTCGGCGAGGCTGAGAGGACGACAATACGTCGTTGCCCTCAGGCACCAGGGGAGCCGCTTCCTGTCGCACTCTTGGTAAGGCCAGGGCCGACGAACCCTCTGGGTCCGCCAGCGCAGCCTCGGCAGGAAAGGACTGCGCCTTGCCATGTTCGGCCGCTCCTGACAGCCAAGCTGGAAAGCGTGTGAAGGGTTCGCCTGTCATTCTTATTATGCGTTGTTGGAAAATTACCCGGACCAGGGTTGACCAGAGTCGGTAGGCTGGGAGGGTCGACTGGGACATTGGGGGGTGGCCAGGGACTTTGCCTCAGCGTATTCCTACAGGTGAAGTTTGCACCATTGCGATGTCTATGCGGAACTTTGCTGGTAGAAGCGATAGTGCCAAACCTGTGTCCCAATCCCATCCGAAGTCCTAAGCACGGTCATGTTGATCCTCCCCCTGCGGCTTTCTATGGTTTCGTGGTCTTCCTCTTGTTATTCCTCCTCGTCCTCTCGGAGCTTCTTCTCCGTCGTCGTCCTTCTCGACTTGTTTCCTCCCTTCCCGCTTTGTGCACCTGTGGGGGTAGGGGGATTGGGTGGGCCAGTTTCGGGCTCTCGCCGTGCGAGGTACTATCAACGACTCCCCAGCTGCTGGGTCAGAGCCGGCTGCGTTGCCCTCGCGCGGGTGGTGATGGGCACGAGGAGGAGGAAGAGGAGGAGGTGGAGGAGGAGGAGGACGAGGAGGAGGAGGAGGAGGAGGAAGAGTTGGAGGAGGAGGAGGAGGAGGAGGAGGAGAAGGAGGAGGAGGAGGAGGAGGAGTTGGAAGACTTGGAGGAGGAGGAGAAGGAGGAGGGGGAACAGGAGGAGGAGGAGGAGGAGGAGGAGGAGGAGGAGGAGGAGGAGGAGGAGATCCATAGCCAGTTTGGGGCTCGGACCCGTACGTGAAGGTCCCACGCCCAGGAATCCGCGCGCAAAAGCCCACCGACACTCGGGAGTCCAGGCGCACAGGCTTCGCACTACACGCATTCAGCTGTTTTGGGCCATGTCGTTGGCATCATGTCTCATCTGAGCCACGCCGGCCTCAAGCTCGCTAGCCTCCAGCATCGGGGCCCGGGCCGTAAAACACACGCGTTCCTTTGGTTCCCTCCCCCCCGTTCACCCTTTCCCCCCTCCTTGCCCCCCCTTCGTCATCTTCGAAAGGTGTCCGGGGCGCTGAACACGAGAAATCTAGAGGGGGTTGGCGGGTTATCCCGGGGATTCAGGGGTTGGTTCAGGGCTGGCGGGGCTGAATTTGTGCCCTTGCCGCTTCCACCCTTCGGTTTCTTTCCCTTCCGTTCCTTTTCCGCCTCCTCCGCTCGGAGGAGGAGGAGGAGGACGAGGAGGAGGAGGAGCAGGAGGAGCAGGAGCATGAGCAGGAGGAGGAGGAGGAGAAGGAGGAGGAGGAGGAGGAGGAGGAGGAAGAGGAGGGGGAGGAGGAGGAGGAGGAGGAGAAGAGGGAGGAGGAGGAGGAAGAGGAGGAGGAGGAGGAGGACGAGGAGGAAGGAGGAGGAGGAGGAGGAGAGAGGAGGAGGAGGAGGAGGAGGAGGAGGAGGAGGAGGAGGGGGAGGGGGGAGGAGGAGGAGGAGGGAGGAGGAGGGGGAGGACGAGGAGGAGGAGGAGGAGGAAGAGGAGAAGGAGGAGGAGGAGGAGGAGGACGAGGAGGAATTGGAGGGGGAGGAGGAAGGGGAGGAGGAGGAGGAGGAGGAGGAGGAGGAGGAGGAGGAGGAGGAGGAGGAACAGAGGAAAAGAGGAAGAGGAGGAGGCGGAGGAGGAGGAGGAGGAGTAGGAGGAGGAGGAAGAGGAGGAGGAGGAGGAGGAGGAGGAGGAGTTGGAGGAGGAGGAGGAGGAATATAGAAAAAAACGCCAAGACGAGGAAACAGCACGAATATGAGGAATAGTGCGAGAGGAATACGGGAGGGAGGCTGAGGGGTTGCTCGAACGTGCCGGCTTGCGTCCGGCGATCATCCGATTGCCAGTGGTGCTGCCCAGCAAGCTCAGTCCGTTTGCGGGGCGGGGTCGCTTTCCACGCACGTTCGAGTTTTTTCTTCCATCATGCGTTTTATTACGAACCTCCCGCTGCAAGGCCGGTGCCTCTCCCGTGTCATTCCACAGCCATTCCGGTGAGTCTCGTAAGCGTGCCAGCTCGCTTTCAGTGCACGTCGCGCTGCCAGCGTTGCTGCCGGGACGCGCGCGTCATGCGTGCCAGCTCGCTGGAAGCGCGCGTCGATTTACCAGTGTTGCCAGCAGAAAGCTCACCCCCAGCGTGCTGGCTCGCGTTTTGGAGCACTTCGCACTGCCAGGGATTTTTCCAGGAAGCTCATTCCAACTTGTTGGCTTGCGGTCCGCGATCAAGTGCTTCCCACATTACAACATAGGTCCATTGACGTATGTACTATGGTATTTCTGATGGGTGGTTACGTAATGGTGCAAACCATTCCCTGGGCTTGCGTTTCAAGTGCCGTCCGCAGTGCATCTTCTGAGGGATGCTGGCACCACGTCTGGCACGCGTGCCCCAACGTGAGCCCCGTTAACTGCA